ACACAGAAAATATACATACACAAATATAATGATGTTTTTTTCATTTCTACAGTTTTTAAAAACTAAAAAAAAATTATTTACTTACAGTGGATTCGTCTAAATTATGAATCAAAATGCGAAAAACTTCGGTTTATAATTTGTTAAAATTTAATTCCTTAAAATTTTACCCTCTTATAGTGTGCAAAAAAAGTCTGCCAATTACTCCCAAGTTTTACTTCTTGTAAGTGCGAAATATACATTTTTGATTGTGCTAATTTTTTATTTTTACTGCTTAAAATGTCTCAATTGTTGCCAATTTAGAATATTTTATTACATCAAAAAATTTGCAATAATTGTAATTGTATATCTGCTAAACGTTTTCTTTTATCAGTAAAAGAAAATGTTCGAAAAGTGTAAAAAAAACTTTTTTTAAATCGAATGGAAACGAAGTTTATCTACATAATTAAAAATAAATACACTAACATTATATGAGCTTTAAATCCAAACATAAAAAATTAAGATTTGTATCGTCAATCATAAGCTTTAAAATAGAAAATATATAAAAAATATTAAGCAGAATTAGGGTTTTGGGTTAAAATGCTTTTTTCATTTATATCANTTCATTGAGCTTTGCAAGTTTTTTCAAACAGTACTGCACGTGCTTAACCAATACATTTCCCTCTGGGTTGTTTTAAACTTTATTGAGTCCGAATTTAATGAATTTGAGCCGTGGCTTAAATTTAAGCTGCGGCTCAAATATGATGGTAGATTCCACTTAAAATCCCATTCAATGTTTCAATATTTAAGCCGGCGCTCAATTGAAACAGCTTTTTAGGGGATTTGAGACGCGGCTCAAATTCATTAAATTCCGACTCAAGATGTTTTTATTTTAGAAAAATTAATAGATTAATAGTTTTTAGTGAAGGCAACCATTTTTTACTATATGCATGTTTTTTTTTGACAAAATGTAATTTCACTTTTTTGACAATGTCAAAATTCTAAAAGTAAAAACTGTTAAGTTTGAAGGCTTGTTCTAGAGGAAATCAAGAATTAAATGTACTCAACGAGGTTATAGTTACGCGTCTGGTAAACAATTTGAACAACTTTATTTTTTTATTTATTATAAACTATATGCTTATACACATACAGCTATATGTATCATGTTAGACTAAGCTTACATACATACTGCAATAATCTGTAGAACTCTGCCCAGAGGCAATTGAGGGTTTTAGTGAAGAATGATATGTATGAATTATTTATTAATGTCTACAAATATAAAGTAGTAATCACTGTTTGTCTGTCCGATTGTTTGAATGTTTGATCATAACTCAGTAACCCCCTGGACCGATCTGTGTCAATTTTGCTGGTTGAACCATGGGAATGTTCTTGGCTTGATTTAAAAATTCTAACTTGAGTAAATTGACTTTTATATGGATAACTTGGTTTCTAGGCAAATCCTGGTTCCCCTGCTAATATATATATATTTGCCTAGAAACCAAGTTATCCATATAAAAGTCAATCTAGAATTTTATATATAATACATAATATAATAATATAATATATATACATTACGACAAGTGACAAATGTAACTGTGTCTCTTCCTGTACTTTCTTCGTGAGCTTGATTGTAAGATAGATAAATAAATAGATAGATATATACATAGATAGATAGATATATGTAAGATAAATAAATTCGTAGATAGGTAAACAGAAAGATAGATACATAGATAGTTAGTTGAATAGATACATAGATATGTAAATAGACAGATAGAAAGATACACATATAGATAAATAAAATAAATACAAATAAATTCAATTGTACCACATGTGTAATTTATACACAGAATAGGAACTGAAAGGAACTGGAAGGAACTGAAAGGAACCGAAAGGAACCGAAAGGAACTGAAAGAAACTGAAAGGAACTGAAAGAAACTGAAAGGAACTGAAAGGAACTAAAAGGAACTGAAAGGAACTAAAAGGAACTGAAAGGAACTGAAAGGAACTGAAAGAAACTGAAAGGAACTGAAAGGAACTGAAAGGAACTGAAATATACTTCTAAACAGAAGAAAAAGGATAAAATTTAGAAAATGTAAAATAATTTATGAATTTGTGATCAATTATGCTTTTTAGTTGTCTTTCATAATTGTGAACAGACCCTATATTTCTTCTCCCTAGTTGGTAATTACTAGTTTTTATCATGCTTTGAATTGGCACTTTGCAATACAATAGATCATTATTAGTGCGATAATGTAGCACTGACTTTTTGCTCATATGCAAATCATGCTTTTGCAATCTATTTTTGATTAACATCTATTTTCAGAAATTTGATTAGTATTTAGAATTTTCATCTATATCAACTTTGATATTTCAATTTTCATGCTAAAACTGAGTAAACCCAAGGTTATAATGCAAGGAAAATTAATTGCGGTTGTGTATACTCTGTGTACATATTGAAACCAGTTCTCTCTGGGCGGATTTTGTGAACAAAAATAGAAGCATCAGTTTTCTTCTAGTATACGAGGAGGAACAAAGCATTTAATTTTGATAATTCACTTAATAGTTCCCTTTGACCAAAATATTTCATAGATTATTTTTGTGAAAATGGGTTCCATGTCAGGCTGTGACATCCGTCTTGTGTTTACTTTTCCGCCCAAAGACAGTACACTGCAGTACACAAAATGAGTACACTTCTGAAATAACTTTCCTTGCATTAGTACCTTGAGTAAACCAATCTATATAAAGAAATAAGAAAGAGACGCAATTTTAGTGATTCTCCATTTGAAGAGGGGTTTGTCCAGATCCCAATGGTTTCCTTGAAAGCTGATCAATATTATGGAAGATATTGCCGTTTTCTACAGATTAAAACTGTTAAATTATGATTATTAATCAATATTTTGTGATGCAATAAACTTTTGTAAAGAAACCACAACTGAAAATGATCAGTTTTCAAAGAAGAAAATCATGACTTTCTAATTTGTTGTGTTCAATTTTTATTTATTAATCAGTTGAAAAATTTATAAATATCAATATATTGCACGATAGATTTTTAAAAAATTGATTAAATGATAAGCATTATAATTTGTGGGAAAAAAACAGTATTTTTAAACAGTAAAATTTAGATTTATTGCAGAATTTCAACGTAAAAGATTGCAAAGACATAAAATCATTTTAAAAGAGAGGGCTTGCCCGATGTTTTCTCTGTTTAACGCTTTCTCTATATATCTAATAAACTTCAGTATGATAGAAAATAAAATCCACTGGTCGCACATTGTAAACAAATTAAATATAAGTTTAAAAATGTTAAAGTATGAACTCGATATCCACATTACAAGAGTTCCCAACTCTGGTGTCAGTGATTTAAAGAAGAGGTATAGCTTCTCACCCAGCGTTCAGTAAAATTGTCACACAACGCGAAAATTTAAATTTGAAGACTCGCATTAAACATGTTAACGCTTAAATAATCGATGACTATTGTTTGTAATATTTAATGATTTGTTTGGAATTAAATTGATTTGTTTACGATCCGAGTTGAATGTTGCATCTTTCTGAATTTGTATGGACACTACGTTCTTCGGTATTAGTCGTTTTTAATAATTTTCTCCTTATAGACGCAACAGATAGAAGTAAGATTAGTAGCGATAAAATGCGCTTTTTTATCGCATTAAGCCTATACCCCTTTTCATTTTTAGCGAACACTCCCTTTAAGAGATTAATTTTGGTTAAATAAGTTTCTCTTCAGCTTTTCACCTTAACTCCTTCAAAGCTAGTCTAAAGAGACTGTGGGCGTAGTTTAAAATAACTTAAAATATTTATAGAACTTTATAAAACTAAATATTTTTATTTTCCGTATAGTTATACAAACTCATATTAGATTTCATATTATATGTTGAATATATCACAATGGTAGTCAACGGAAATTATATTTGTGTATTTGATGTGTGTTACTAAGTTGTAACCAAATAATATTTTTTCTATAAAAATTGATAGTGTCCTATGATTTGGACATAATGCATAACAATGACGACATTCTTCAATAAACTCGTGGCATACTTTTAATGCATTTATATATTTATAGAATGGTGCACTGTATTTCCACCAGCCAAACCCGCTCTTGTCCATAGGTATTTCTGATTTAAAAATGCAGTTTTTTCTGATTTGTTTCTCTGTATAGAAGTTGAGCCTATGTTTACATACAGTAGACTATATACTGCATAATGCATAAAAGAGACTCCAAATGATAAATAGGAAACAAAAACATTAATATCTACGTCTATACTTGATCATACAAAACTTTTAAGGGTACTGATGTAAATCGGGCATTGCTATCTTTGTATGGAAGGTCACTTGAAATTACGCTTACAGTCGCTTTAAATTTGACAAGATTGCCCATTTTTGGAACTCATGGAGAATAATATACATGGATCTACGGGTTGATAAGAACATTAAGCGAGGAATTTATATGAATACGTATTTTAGATAAGTATCCGGAATTTTAATTAAAAACTACATATATATATATGTATATATATATAAATATATATATATATATAAATAATAAATAATACAGGGTGTCCCAGAAAACATGAAAATGAGTAAACTTTTATGAGAAAAATGTTGTGAATGAGGATATAGAAACTAATAAAAACACTCTTATTTTTTATTTCAAAAAATAATGTTTACACAGAGGCAGTTAAAATTTAGAAATGTCAAAATTCCAACTAAAGTATCTACTTTATTTATCCATAATAATGTTTTAGATGGTTCCACTAAAAATTCGTTGAGTATACATAATAGCTTAAAGACCCTTTTAAAACACTTTTCATTTTTCATAAATTCAGCAAACTCTCAGCATTATTTCAAGCATGACCTATCAATGATTTACAACGGTACATGAACGGTACATGAACGGTACATGAACGGTACATGAACGGTACATGAACGGTACATGAACGGTACATGAACGGTACATGATTGGTACATGAAGGGTACCATTGAATTTTTATCTTATCAAAAATGAATATCTCTTTTAGAAGTGAATCAAAGGTAATAATGCTTGGTCGTTTTTGTTTAAATGGTAAAATTGCTGCTGGAACAAGTACCAATATTTTTTTGAAACTTACAGAGCTTTTATTTGGATAAATCCTTAATCAACCTTCTCACTAGTCCTTTATAAACTTTTCACTAGTCCTTTATAAACTTCTCACTAGTCCTTTATAAACTTCTCACTAGTCCTTTATAAATTATAAACTTCTCACTAGTCCTTTATAAACTTCTCACTAGTCCTTTATAAACTTCTCACTAGTCCTTTATAAACTTCTCACTAGTCCTTTATAAAGTATATCTTTTTTTTGAAGGAACTGTATAAAGGTAAATAATTTCAAATGACTCACCATGCAATGAGGGCAAAGTCCGATTCACAATAGTATCCTTAAAAGCTTTGTCTGATCAAGTATGAACTAGATATCTATATTTTTTTTCTTTTAAACTGTTTATTTTTCATTTGTGGGTTCTCTGCGAAAGTGACTTGCACAGTTCTTGCCATAAAGAACCAATGGAGAAATAAGTTGAATTAAACACTTATCGAAAAAGAAAAAAAATCTTCCACATTAGCCATCTGAAAATGTTGTGGGTTACACGAAATATATTATGGCGAAAATGACAGATGTTAAAGGGACCGTTCACTTGTTTGGGTAATTTCAGGGTAAACTAAACAGCCTATCAGCTATTCTTTAGTATTAGTCTTACTTTTCAAAGACAACTGTGGCCGGAGAAAAAGCCGATTTTTCGTTCAGAATTTGAGCGGAAAGGGATACATATAGTATGTTGTGGATCAAAATAAATTTCGAATATAAAATTAAACTGTATCTAATGGTTAATTGTAACTGTTATAACTTTTTTAATTTTTGTTTTTTAACTTTTTATTTCTAAAATAACACTATTTTATCGCATTAAAGATTTTGAATTGCCTGTGTAAAAAGATTAATTGAACGCGCCATGAAAATGAAAAGTTGTGCACATACGGAAAAAAATCTACAAAATCTACGAATCAAAATACGAGTAATGATTAATTGATTGTCGTAGAGACGTCGTCTTTGTACACACTTTTTACATGTTTTAATACGAAAAACGTAAATTTCTTGTTAACTCAAATGTCAAAAGTTTTCATATTTTAGTATATAACAACGAACACATGATGACATTAAAATATGATAAATTTAAATTCATTGGGCTGCTGTTACTGAAAAAACCTCAAAAAGTGTCTATAGAGAGGGACCGTTTCTTTCCGCTCAAATTCTGAACGAAAAATCGGCTTTTTCTCCGGCCACAGATGTCTTTGAAAAGTAAGAGTAATACCAATCAAGAGCGAATAGGCTGTTTATTTTACCATGAAATTAAGTCAACGGTCCCTTTAAATACCTTGAGTGATAAATTGGACTGGAGAGAGTATAATCATGAAATCATTGATCTACAGAGATAACCAGAAAACTCTGGAATAGAAAGACGACTTTTAAGCTCAAGTTAGGACTTAAAATAGTCCAATAAGTATGTGACACAGGAATTGTGCAGTGTAAACAGACCCGTTTCACTTAATTATAGATTCCATAAGTTTCAAGTAAAACTATTTGTTTTGGAACACCATCAAGTACATTTAAGTATTGCTATAAAGTCGTCTTCTATTTCAGAGTTTTCTGGTTATCACTGTAGTTTTAACTTTTTGTTTATTTTTTTTTGTCTGCAGATGCGTTTTAGATAAAAAAGGATAAGGAGACAACTCTATAAATTCTAAGATTGAAAAACGCGATATATTCAAATTGAAAAAAACGATCGCATCATATCACGTTCAGACTTCTTTCAATTCGTTCATTAGCGGTTAGTTTAAATCGTAAATACATCTCATATAATCAATTTTAGAGGAACACTCCATGTGTATATCTATCTTTGGTCCTAACATGTTTTTTTCTAAAAGATATATATTTCTATATATACGCATAAATATAATCTATAGATATATTATAATATATTTCTATATATACGCATAAATATAATCTATAGATATATTATAAGTTATCTAAAAGCATATCAAGAAGGATATGGATTAAATTATTTTTAATGCCTTTGACAAAAATGATCGAATATACAGGAATAACCAGAAAACTCTGAAGTAGGAAGACGACTTTTAGAATTAAGTCTAAACTTTAAAAAGTCTAATGAGCAATGTAACACAACAACAGAGAAGTGTAAACAGATCCATTTTACTAAATTGGTGATTTAATAAGTATCTATAGTAAAGCTATGTACTTTGTAACAACATTAAATACACTTTATTATTGCTGCAATGTCGTATTCCTTTTTTCACTGTACAGTACACAAAAAAATAGCTCGCGGTCTTTATTATAGACACCTTAAAAATTGTACATTTTTCACTGATGCTAAAATTTTTGTTATGAAAGTTTATTATAATAAATAACTTAAATTATATTCGTATCGTGAGCATATTTGAGCATGGCTATCATTAAAACCATATTATAACATCTGAAAATGTTGTGGGTTACACGAAATATATTATNGAGGTTTACTACGTAGTTATCTAAAAGGGTATCTAAACTACAATGTGTGTTCCAGGAGTGTTCAGGTTTATAAATATGAGGTTTACTACGTAGTTATCTAAAAGGGTATCTAAACTACAATGTGTGTTCCAGGAGTGTTCAGGTTTATAAATATGAGGTTTACTACGTAGTTATCTAAAAGGGTATCTAAACTACAATGTGTGTTCCAGGAGTGTTCAGGTTTATAAATATGAGGTTTACTACGTAGTTATCTAAAAGGGTATCTAAACTACAATGTGTGTTCCAGGAGTGTTCAGGTTTATAAATATGAGGTTTACTACGTAGTTATCTAAAAGGGTATCTAAACTACAATGTGTGTTCCAGGAGTGTTCAGGTTTATAAATATGAGGTTTACTACGTAGTTATCTAAAAGGGTATCTAAACTACAATGTGTGTTCCAGGAGTGTTCAGGTTTATAAATATGAGGTTTACTACGTAGTTATCTAAAAGGGTATCTAAACTACAATGTGTGTTCCAGGAGTGTTCAGGTTTATAAATATGAGGTTTACTACGTAGTTATCTAAAAGGGTATCTAAACTACAATGTGTGTTCCAGGAGTGTTCAGGTTTATAAATATGAGGTTTACTACGTAGTTATCTAAAAGGGTATCTAAACTACAATGTGTGTTCCAGGAGTGTTCAGGTTTATAAATATGAGGTTTACTACGTAGTTATCTAAAAGGGTATCTAAACTACAATGTGTGTTCCAGGAGTGTTCAGGTTTATAAATATGAGGTTTACTACGTAGTTATCTAAAAGGGTATCTAAACTACAATGTGTGTTCCAGGAGTGTTCAGGTTTATAAATATGAGGTTTACTACGTAGTTATCTAAAAGGGTATCTAAACTACAATGTGTGTTCCAGGAGTGTTCAGGTTTATAAATATGAGGTTTACTACGTAGTTATCTAAAAGGGTATCTAAACTACAATGTGTGTTCCAGGAGTGTTCAGGTTTATAAATATGAGGTTTACTACGTAGTTATCTAAAAGGGTATCTAAACTACAATGTGTGTTCCAGGAGTGTTCAGGTTTATAAATATGAGGTTTACTACGTAGTTATCTAAAAGGGTATCTAAACTACAATGTGTGTTCCAGGAGTGTTCAGGTTTATAAATATGAGGTTTACTACGTAGTTATGTTAAAGGGTATCTAAACTACAATGTGTGTTCCAGGAGTGTTCAGTTTTATAAATATGAGGTTTACTACGTAGTTATCTAAAAGGGTATCTAAACTACAATGTGTGTGCCAGGAGTGTTCAGGTTAATAATTATGAGGTTTACTACGATATTAATTACAAGCCAATGTCATGATATAGCTTCAATATTAAAATTTGCGTAAAGTCAGGGGATTTTAAAATAAAAAAATCAATAGAACTTCTATTGTTTGAGTAACATGTGCAATTTACAAATGGTACTTTGACTGAAAAAGAATGAATGAATGAATGAATGAATGAATGAATGAAAGAATGAAAGGATGAATGAATGAATGAATGAATGAATGAATGAATGAATGAATGAATGAATGAAGGAAAATATGACAAACAGATAAAATTCGAAAGCTAAAGTTATTGACCCCCCCCCCACCCCCCACCCAACTTTGTCTTCTCTCATCCTACCACTGAAGGGTTAAAAAGATCGACTGCACGAGTAATTTCAAATGACCCTCCATGAACAGATGACAATGCCCTATATATAACGGCACCCTTGAAAGCTGTGTCTAATCAAGTATGAAGTAGAAATCAATGTTTTTGTTTCTTAAAACTGTTTATTTTCATTCGTGGTTTCACTGTGAAAATGACCAGGGTATTTCTGCTGATAAGAAGCAATATAAAACTCTACAGAAATAGACCATTTTCGGGACAAAAAGAACGACGATTCCTTCCTCTTTTTGGATCAGATTAAGGTTCCAAGGGTAACGTTGTAAATCAGTCATTGCCATTGTTGCAATGTTGCATGGAGCAATATAGTTTCAGTAGAAGTAAATATTTCCATTTACTGTTATAGCGCCGATATAAGAATTTATCTCTAATTGGATAATGAGATAGATAGAAAGATAGATGTTACCACCATGCAATTTCTATTGGTTCAGAATAGACAACAAACACATGGCTGAACCTTGATTGGATCAGGCGCTAATGGACTCGGCATACAGAAGATGGAAGGATCAATTGAAATTACGCTTACAGTCCCTTTATTAACAAAGTCATAGCGTGTGCCAGGTGTGGGAGGATTTTTAATAAATTCAGAATAATATTTGTTTAAATTATTTTGGTATTTTTTGTTCCCATTATTAAAATAATCAGGCAATACTGAGTCAACATTCATCAAATTTTAAATAATGACGAAAGAATAAATGTTTTTTAAGTCAAAGTGACTTTTTCTGATTTAAAAAGAGGATAGTTATGATACTCGAAATTAAGATTTCTTAATTAAAATTA